ACGGGTGAAAATCTAGTATAAGCAAAGATATAATATATAGATTTTTTCGAACAACCTTTGTAGCTAGATTAATTGCGCTTGAATGTAATGTAGTACTTTATAGTTTTTATCAAAAACATTTCATTATTGTTTCATTATTTTTTTGTCTAAATGAATTTTGAATTTTATGTTTCTAACTTTCAAATAACATTTTATATGTCTAAATGAATTCTGATTTTTATGTTTCTAACTTTTCACATAACATTAACTTTTAACTTTTGTAAAACACGAGGGCTGATTTCCCCAGAAGCACGTCTCTCTATAGGGCTTCCTAGCCGCTAGAGCCTTTTTCTCAGGCGGCGATCAATTCCGATCGTGGGTTCCGGCGGTCTTTGTTCGATCTGTGTGTTTCTGTTTGGCTTACGCCGTCAGGATTAACGCTCGATTGTTGTCGAATGTTGGTCTACTACGGCGTTTCCTTTTGTTTTGATCTCAGGCAATAGACGATCTGATTGGTTCTCTTTTTTTGGGAGGAAGAATGAGTTTGGGTAGCAAGGGCATGACAACGACGAAGACCGCTAGCGGTGGATTTGCTAAGAGCGCGGGACGAGGAGAGTTGTGCGGTTTTCGAGCGTCTAATGACGATTGACAATGGTGGGTCAATTAGAATGGTACCAAGGATACGGCCTCCTCCGGAACCACCGCCATGGGTTGTACGAGGTGATATAGCCCGTGAAAGTTTTCCTATTAGTTATTATTTTTTTGTCATTTGGATTCTTGTTATCGTCTATGTTGTTAGGTTTGTCAGTTTGTTTGGGATTTCAGCCTTTTTTATGTCATTGAGTATGTTTGGATCCATGAGAACAAGGATGGTTGTGTCAAGTCCGCTACATGGTTAGCGATTCGCGTTGCTCTTTCAGGGGTGACCGTCTCTAAGTCTGATTATAGGGTTTACAGTCGTAGTTGTTGGAATTTAGTTGGTGTCTATTTTGTTTTTCCTTTGACTGATGTAATGATCCTGAAATTTATGATATGAAAGAAGGCTAGTTGACGATAAAAAAAACTTTCAAATAACATTTACGATAAAAAAAAAACTTTCAAATAACATTTATATATTTATTGCATCTTTAGTGTGTCATTTATATCTTGTAACTAATAATTACATATTTACACGATCTTTAACTATTATTAGCTAAGGAGTTACTAAATGCTTTATTAATTAGAACAACATTTTTTCACTTCTTTTTGCTCGAAATAGATTTCTATTTTTTCTATCATACATACATATGAGTTTGATTTTTTACTCTCCTTATATTTGGTATACTCTCCTTATATATATAATGTTCAAATGAGTTCTGATTTTTTATGTTTCTAATTTTCAAATAATATTTTTATATTTATTGCATTTTAGTGTGTCTTTTGTAGCTTGTAACTATTAATTACATATTTACTTCATCTTTAATTATTACTCTATTAATTAAGGAGTTACTAAATGCTTTATTAACTAGGACTATATTTCCACTTCTTTTGACTCCAAATAGATTTTTATTTGGTTTTCCCCCATACTCTTTATATATATAAAGATAAAAGATAAAGATACCCTCTTTATATATAAAGATTTCTTATTTTCTTGCTTAACTTGGTCTAGACTTGTTTTCTTGAACTAAGCAAGCTTTCTTTCTTCCTCAAATTTCCCATCCATTTTTTATCATGAATCTAAGTCGTATCCGGCCCAGGGATTACTAGGGCTGCAAGAGTCCTACAAACCTAATATATATTTGAAATTGCATTTTCTCAAATAGTGGTAAGAAGAATAATGACATACAATTTTTTTTTTAAAATCTCCCTTGCTAAAGGAGTGTTTGGGGTTGCTTAAAAAAAGCACTTTTCTGCTTTTGGCTTAAAAAAAGTTGAAAAGAGTGTTTTCAAACGACAGCTTCTGCTTAAATTAATCACTTAAAAGCTAAAAGCTGGAAGCAGGTAGAAGGGTGCTTTAAACTGCTTCTCACTTTTTCTATTACACAAAAAATACTTATTTTACCAAACACTACCAACTTTTACTTTTTCAGAATCACTTTTTTCTCAAACACTACCAACTTTTACTATTAATCACTTTTCCCAAAATCACTTTTTTAAAGTTGAAGCAATTGTAAACACTCCTTAAGTCACCTTAAGAGAGAGAATTGTGTGAGTGGGTGGATGAGTGCAAACGGAAGGTAATGGACTAACGGAAATTTTATACTTCGTATAATCATTTTTATGGACGTTATAAGGAGTTGAGATTATTTTGTAATATTTCAAGTATGAACTTTTATTGTACAATTGTTGAAAGTAAAAGTTATTCTTATGAATTTTGCCATTTTCTTTTAATTCTAATTTCCACCTAACAACCAGCCTCCTATCCCACTACTGGCTCCACCAACTTCTATCGCCGCTGGCCGCCAAAAATGTCGCGGAACTTTTTTAGTTTTCTAACTTTTCAACAACAAAACACATAAAAAAATTGTCGGTCTCAAAGCATGTTACACGGCTGAGTGACACCGGTTGCAGTGAGAATGACACTAGTAGCAGCAATAGTGACACTAGAAAAATCTGTCAATGACATACTAACCTATCTAGTAGTGACATTATGATTTCCTAATTTATTACTACCTCCGTCCTCCTAAGTTTGGGACAAAGGAGTGTGGTGTGATTTTTAAGAAAAAGTAGAATTGTGTGATTGATATTGAATTGATAAAGTGTTAATAAAGTAAGAATGAATTCTAACCACTTAAACATTACCTAATATGGTATGAGACAAACTTAATGGGACGGACGAGAAAGGTAAAACGGGACAAAGTTAGGGGGACGGAGTGAGTACGTTTTAATCACATTTTTGCCAATGTATTAAATTTGTCATTTTTTTAAAAATCCCTTGATTTTTAAGATCTTTTAAAAAAATTGAGAAGCTGCATTGAGTAAGTTTTAAGAGAATGTTTATAACTTTCAGAATTAATTAGACAACAATAGTTTTTCAAGTAGATTAAACATTTTTCGACCTCTTTAGTTGCTAAAAGCGAACAATTACTAAAAGGAAATAAAAATTATCTTTTCAACAAGTTGTGCCAAAACGGTTTAGCTAAGTACTTCTGAGTTGCTCGGAAGATTCTATGGTTGTGTCTACGTTTAAAAAGTTAATTTTTGAAGTGTTTTATTTGCTTGATAATAAAAGTTATTTGCATTTGAAGAAAAGTGATTTTGAAACAAAAATTGGTGGTTTTTGATAAAAATGTACTTTTATTTTATAGAAAATGTAAAAAAACTTTTCATCTTCCTACTTTTATTTGCTTTAAAGTGTTTATAAGAAATTGTCACTTGAAAACAATAATCTTAAATTTAAATATACATCTAAACTATAAAAAGAAATAGAAATATGAATAGAAATAGAAATATGAACAGAAATAGGAATAGAAATTGAAATAGAAATTGAAATAGAAATAGATTTTTTTTATCATCAAAACCAACAACTCCACTAATCAAGTAAATCGTTTGTCAGTTGGCTTACAATCGAGAGAAACACATCATTTAGATAGTAGGTAATCCGACAAAACAAGTCCTGACAACCGCCGTCCCTCGAACCAGACTCAGAGTTTATCACCTCAGCAATATAACTCGCTGATCCATTAATGGGAACAAATGAGCCAAAGACGGTTACCGCAGTCATTCCATCACCCACATCCAAACCCAAAACCAGAGTCTTACAATCGAAAGAGATAAAACAACAAACAAACACAGACAAAATCAGACCATTAAAATAAATAAAAAGCAAAAAAATAAATTTCTTCACGCAGTCTTCCAAGAACTACCGGCGGCGGTTCAGGAGGGGGTTGGATCACCATCCCTTCATCTACTTCCTTCATCGACTTGATCTGCCCTTGAGTCGTCTCCATCTCTTGGCCAAAGAACGTTGTCTCTTCCTCATCTTCAAACTACCCTCGTGACTCCCTCCATCGTGACGGCAGTTTAGGAGGAGCACGGGCTGAAGCTTCAATCTTCTCAGAAGAGTCTCTCCTGATCCATGCCATTAGCCTTTCTGTTGGAAAGCTCTCCTCCGCTCGCTACTTCGTCTCCTCGACTCGCTCGTCAAAGACACCAAGAACTACCGGTCCGAACCAAACGGCCTTCACCAGCCTCCTTCGTCGCCTCTCCTTCTGATTCCTCTACGTCGAAAATAAAGAGATGGCCGGAAAAACCAGCCCCGCTCCTCGGCTTAAGCCGACAACGGACAATCGAAGCTAGCGGTTGGCCTAGCGGCAACCTTAGAGAGAAGACGTCCGAAATTACACTCCGTATAGAAATAGAAATAGAAATAGAAATAGAAATAGAAATAGAAATAGAAATAGAAATAGAAATAGAAATAGAAATAGAAATAGAAATAGAAATAGAAATAGAAATAGAAATAGAAATAGAAATAGAAATAGAAATAGAAATAGAAATAGAAATAGAAATAGAAATAGAAATAGAAATAGAAATAGAAATAGAAATAGAAATAGAAATAGAAATAGAAATAGAAATAGAAATAGAAATAGAAATAGAAATAGAGATAGAAATAGAGATAGAAACAGAGAAGGAAACAGAGAAGGAAACAGAAAAGGAAACAGAGTTAGAAACAGAAACAGAAACAGAGTTAGAAACAGAGTTAGAAACAGAAACAGAAACAGAAACAGAAACAGAAACAGAAACAGAAACAGAAACAGAAACAGAAACAGAAACAGAAACAGAAACAGAAACAGAAACAGAAACAGAAACAGAAACAGAAACAGAAACAGAAACAGAAACAGAAACAGAAACAGAAACAGAAACAGAAACAGAAACAGAAACAGAAACAGAAACAGAAACAGAAACAGAAACAGAAACAGAAACAGAAACAGAAACAGAAACAGAAACAGAAACAGAAACAGAAACAGAAACAGAAACAGAAACAGAAACAGAAACAGAAACAGAAACAGAAACAGAAACAGAAACAGAAACAGAAACAGAAACAGAAACAGAAACAGAAACAGAAACAGAAACAGAAACAGAAACAGAAACAGAAACAGAAACAGAAACAGAAACAGAAACAGAAACAGAAATAGAAATAGAGTTAGAAACAGGGTTAGAAATATAAATATGGATATGGATATGGATATAAATATGGATATGGATATAAATATGGATATGGGTATGAATATGGATATGAATGCAAGCACATGCACATGCACAGGTAGAGGCACATGCACATGCACATGCACATGCACATGCACAGACACAAATATAACTATAAATATAAATTGGCTGATTTATAGAGGGATCACTTAAGGGCGGCTAGCTTGTCAATGATGTGTTGAACCTCTTCGATGTTCTGAGGGGCTGCATGTCGGGGATGGCAATCACCTTATCTGGGTTCGACTCTGCTTTAGCAGATCATGTAGCCTAGACACTTGCCCTCTTAGACTGCAAAGATGCACTTCTTCAGATTGACCCGAAGGTTGAACTTGATCATGATCTAGAAGATGCCCTCAAGGTACTTAGCATGGGTTGTAAAGTGTTTGCTTTTTATGATCATGTCATCCACATAAGCTTCCATAGTTTGACCAATGGCAAACTTCAAGAGTTTGGCCACCATCCAGGTATATATCACGCCAGAGTTTGTAAGTCTGAGTATCATGACTAGATAGCAGAATACGCCCTCTCGGGTCATGAACATTTTCTTTTCCACATTTGCCTCATTCATGAATATCATGTGATCACCTTGTAAGGCGCATAAGAAGGACACAGCCTGTTGTCTCGTCCGCCAGCTAATCGATATTGGGGAACAGGAAGGGATCCATTGTGCAGGCTGTGTTGAGATCCATGAAGTCCATGCACATTTGAAACATTAGAAATTTAGATGTGAGGACCACAAAAGATAACCATACAGTGTTAGGTCCCCTAGATTTTGATGATTAAAATGTAATAGTTTTGATGATGCCACCCCTTTTTATTATCTTGTATTAGACTAGACTCTCTTGTTTATGTTCTACCTTGTTTATTGTAATGTGCTCCAAAAATAGTGGTAAAGTACTCATAAAAAGCAAAGAGTATTAAAAAGAGAAGAAACATACCATAAAACAAAAGGAAAAGAATAAAAAAGAAAAGGTACGCAAAGAGTTAACTGGTAGTCATTGTGAAGGAAGTTAACTGAAACACCAGATTTCAGCAGCCAGCTGAAATGCTTGGCAGCCGGCTGAAATCTTGTTTTCTAGTTAACTCATCTGAAATCAACTCACTCTTCTCTTAGCACAAAAACAATTAAACAAAAGACCAACTTGTAGTCAAAATAACAAATTGATGAAAAGTAAATTTATAAGAGATTTTTATCACATTATAAATTTCTTATAAATTTATTTTACTTAAAGCAAGTATTTGTTATTTGTAAGGAAGCATTGAAACATCACTCAGCTTAAATACTAAGTCTCAACGGGGGCAAAAGAAATAAAAGATAAATACATCTTTATATTTGCCTTGAGATGAGGAATCAAGTTGAAGTGAAGATTTTTATTCGTGTCACTACAAGACAAAGACCAACCATATTGCTTCAGTCAAGTGGAACAAAGCAAGTAGATCAAGCTACGGTCAAGATTGATTTCCTTAGCCAACGGTAGAGATTCAATGATCAAGTCTATAAACACAGAAGGAGTGTGGGAATACCAAGTGTGGTAAAACGAGAGGAGCCAAGTGGAATAGAAGGGAATCAAACTATCCATGCTCATATCTAGCCAGCTGATTCCCCTTCACCATTTTGGCTACCACCTCACTCGTCGAATGCTCTTAGACTAGCTATAATTCATACAAACCTATAAAGCTTTGATTAGTTATTAGTTTAGATATACACCCATGTAATATAAACTAGTGTTAGACATTCTGGAGGGCTTTGTGTTCAAATCCAGAAGGTGAGGAAGGGCAAGGACATGAGTAGTTCTTTGCAAGTCAATGTCATTAGTGAAAAACCTTGGGAGGACTGAGTAGCTTGGAATGGTGTTCAAATTCCTTGTGAAAAACCTCACAATCTACGCCCGGGCCAAGGGTAGATTGGGCACTAAATGTAATGAGATATTCATTTAGTGGAAATCCATCTGAAATAGGTTGGGACTGGATGTAGGAGGATTACACCACCTCTGAACCAGGATATCTTGTGTCATCTTTTATATTCTGCTCCCAACACACACTTCAGTTCTCACTCACCTTCACAACTTCATAGTAAAACAGCTTGCTCACAAAACTGTCCAGTGAACATTTCTGGTTCACTGTGAATCAATTCTTTGTTTTCTGATCATCAAAGTGATCTATTTTTATAGGTCTAAATCCTTCATACTTATGTGTTAAGACTAGTTCTAAAGCCTGTCAATGTGTTAAAGTATAGTTCATTGATATACCTTAACTAATTAAAACAGAATATTCATTTCGGTAGCCTGCTCCTGGAGATTTTGGCAGTCAGCAACCAAAGTGTCACACTCTAGAGGTCAAGACTTCCGTTGTATGTTTCAATATCTCCCAAAAGATATTGGAACACATTCTGTAAGATGAAAAAGGGTTGAAAAATGAAAAGATTCAAAAGTCTATTCACCCCCCCCCCCCCTCTAGGCTTTTTACCTCACTTGGGACTCAGTTGGCATCAGGTCACTCCTCATATCGGGTACTTGACCTTGGTGATTTGACTGATGCGGATGAGCATGGTCACATCTACCTTCATGAATTCCCTCTGCTCGTTTGACATGTATATTGTCCTTTCCTTGACTAAGGGTAAGCAGGATCAACCACCAGTCGGTGGGTGATGATGTCTCAGTTGATTCAGAACATGTCCTCTGAGCTGAGGGCAATGACTATTGAGAACTTCTTGAGTGCAGACATGATTGTTTGTTTGAGATGTGTATCGAGTTGGGTGCTGATCTGCACAACTTGTTATAGTTTTGCCTGATTGAGGACCACTGTCTCCAGGAGGTTGACAAGATCAGCTCGGGTAACCTCTCATCGACTACCAGTGAAACAGATGATATGGAGTGGATTTTGAGGTCCATACCTACCATCTTCTTGATGAGATTTAGGTAACATGATCTCGATATTTTCTTGCTAACTGCCTCAGGCGCAAGCGGCCTCCTTCTCAATTGGGGACTTGATGCAAAGATGTTTCATTGAACTGTCTTCAATTCTTTCAGGGTTGGGTGGCCTAGTGTCACATTATGCGCATATTACAGCCCGACCATCACAAACTCAGAAGAGAGTTTTGCTTGGTGGGAACCATACAAACCTCATTTTGGTGCCTCTAATTACCCATATCATCCTCGACCTCAATGTTCTTCTACTCTGTTGAGCTGGTTGTTTGTACATGATCTCGGTTTGTCGAACGTACTAATGCAGATAGCCTCAGTTGATAAGCTCTTTTATCTTTTTTTAGGTTGTGGTCGTTGTCAATCTTATGGCCCATAATGTAGTATGACTCATCTGGGTTGAGGGTCTCATCTAGGTTGAGGGTCATGACCTCCAACACCCTTGGATCACAAGTCGACAATCACTCGTGCTCAACGTAGTCAAGGATGTGACTAACCGAGTAAGTCAAAGGGGTCATGACCTCAGATTGAGCTATCTTTGGCACATGCCATTGTTTTCCGCTTCTGTATCTCCGGATTCGGCCTCACCCTCCACCATTTCGCTCATGCTGGTGCTGGTGTTTGTCTTTGATAGGGTGTAATAGAGTCTGTGTGGGCTATTTTGCTGATTTGGTTGTCAACCTTTTTTAGCTCCCAACTTGACCCTCTTCTGAGTCTGTAGAACCTTCGCCTTGATGAACTGATCCCCCCTCTGTAAAGTCATTCAGTAATCTGTTCGAGGTTCAGTGACAAGGCTCATTGCAACGCCACGAGATCTGATGATGCACTACATGATGGCTAGGCGAGTGTCATCTTTGCCACCATAAACATGAGTGGTCTCCGTCCTCTTCCGCTCTAGAAACTAATGCAAAGGCTCATCCTGAGCTTGTCTGAAAGTAATAAGGTAAGAGAAATGATTTTTTTTGTCTTCATCTTTCCTTCATTGTGAGCGAGGAATCTATTGGCCAATAGACTCATCTCGAAACTCATTGAACCAACCATATGTTTGTCCCTCTAAGGTGGAGATGAACATTTGACATATGTACTCATCCGAAACACTGAGCATTAATTTGCTCGACTGGTACCGAGAGTAATGCTCCAGAGGATTCGTAGTCCCCTCATAGGGTTTGGTCGGTGGGCCTTTATACTTGGCAAGTATAGGGACTCGCATCAGTTTATCGATAAAGAGGGGTTTGGATCGCGCCTTAATCCGGTTTTCTTCATGGTTGAGCTAAGTTGGGAGCACCTGAGCCTGCTTGACGAGGTCGTTCAGTTGAGGATTGGTAGGTAGAAATGTTATATGCTCCGGGTGTTTGGCCGCAATGGTGACAGCCTTGAGCTCCTCCAGCTACTTGGTGAGTTGCTGGATCTACTCGTTCCTCGGATCGGCCTCCTATTGAGGCCAAGTAATCCCAAGCTGATCTCGCTGAGGAGAGAGTGGTCGAGGGGAAGGTAGCTTGGCTAGCCGAGAGTAACTAGTTCTCCAAAAGTGGCAAATCATCTTGAGGTTAGCCGATATTGCGCCGACAACAGCAATCCAATTCTGCTGAGCTAGAGATCTTGAATTTGGAAATTGACAAAACCGAGCTGAGACGGAAGGGCCTCCTTGGAAGCCAGATGTTGCCTCATGTCACGAGTCTTCTGCTAGATAATATGTCGCAAATCAACGACATTGTGTTTTCCAGGGCCGCTTTTCCTCACTTTGGATGGGGCGGTGGTCTCCACAGACTTCTCCTTTCTCCTTGTCCAGAGTTCTAGGAGTCAAGGGAGCCACATCCTTTTAATACTTATGGGGTTCGCGAGCCATTTTTAGAAATGAATGAATGATAAAAAATCTAACTTGACACTATTCGAACTCTCAATGAAAGACCAAATGATAGGTTGTGTATCACATGTGCAATTGAGAGTTAGACAGAAGTTGGGGAAGTTCTAGAGTGAGAAAGTTATGTATTAATTTTCGCAAAGTAATAGTACAAGCAATAATTAGGGATCACTTTCCTCAATTTGAAAGATGCTATTTATAGGCAAAATACAATAATGAGTTATTAGAACTGACTGCTTAGCCCACTAGATCAATATAATGGGCTATAATGAATAAAATATCATGGGCATAATGAATAAAATATCGCATCTACCCAATAAGAGATACGGAATTTAATACAAATAGGTTTGTAGATGTTTTAACCTATTGGTATACTATACTTGAGAGAAACGTTGGCTAAACAAGATAAACAAGGTCTAGAAATCGAATGAAGTTAGCGATATTGCTGGTGTAAAAACTTGAGGAATGGGAATGCAAACAAGCTGCTATGGTGTTATGGAGTATTTGGCGGGCTAAAAATGTAAAACATTGGGACAATGTGGTAGAGACTGAGCATCACATTCAAATACTAACTAATGAGGAAATGAAAATCGTCACTTGGATGTCTTGGGGAACATGTCGATGACGTCAATCATGATGTCAAGCTAATGTATGATGATATCAACCCTTGGAACGCGGCCATTATGTCAGCAATGACATCAGACCTTAGGAACTAGGACACGATGTCAACAATGACCAATCATTGGGAACTGAGCCATCATGTCAACAATAATGACTGTGACGCAAGCCCCATGAAAAAAGTGTGGGAATTGTAATCAAGTCAAGACGAATTAGGTCCGCTCGACCTCGTATGATAACATCAATGCAGAATTCTAGAATAACGACGACTATGCTCGGCCTCGTTGA